TGGAGACATATTATAAAAGGAGTAAAAAAAAAAAAAAGAAAGAAAAAAGAAGTGACATGATTATTCAGTGATCATGATGAGCATCTGTTATTTACATAGTGATTTGCAGACTGAAGAGTTAGACGTGAAGTTTGTACTTTATGCAATTCCTCTCAGTTAATATATTGTGATTACTGAAATTTGAATTATGTTATTGAGGAACTGGAGTTCTTTAAACACACTCACTGAAATTTGTGAGTACTGGAGCCATGGAGAGTAAGGACCGCATATACTTGCAATGTCCTAAGATGTGTGAATCCTCCAGTTAGTCTTCTCAGCATTTGAAAAGAGGGAAAAATTAATTATTTCTCTGGCTTTCTTCATGTGATTCCTTAGGAATCTTCTCTATTAATTCAAGAAATGTGTGGCAAAGAAATCAAAGAAACTTTCTATGACTGTCACTTGAATAGGCTTATTTGAGATTAAATTACACAGTGGCATGAGTTAGATAAATCAGTGGACTTTGAAACAGAGCTCGGCTTAATAACCATTGATTTTAAGAGAAAAGCAAAAAGTTTCACATGATTTTCCCTAGTTTTAATCATTGAATTTTATTGTTCATATCTTTGCATCTCTTTTCTCTTTAGTTATTACTCTTCTTGTACCCAGAGTAAAGAGTTAACGCCAGTACAATTGTTAAATGTACCCCATATTCTAAAACAACCTTCTTAAAATCCCTGGAGCCTCTTTTTAAAAAGATTTTTATTTTAGGGGGTGCCTGGGTGGCTCAGTGGGTTAAATTCTCTGCCTTCAGCTCAGGTCATGATCTCAGGGTCCTGGGATCGAACCCTGCATTGGGCTGTCTGCTTAGCAGGGAGTCTGCTTCCCTTCCTCTCTTTCTGCCTACCTCTCTGCCTACTTGTGATCTCTGTCTGTCAAATGAATAAATAAAATCTTTTAAAAAAAGATTTTTATTTTATTTTTAGAGAGAGAGAGAGAGCACGAGCAGGAAGATCACAGGGAGAAAGAAAGAGAATCTCAAGCAGACTCTGCACTGAGCTCAGAGCCTGATGTGGGGCTCAATCTCACGATCCAGAGATCAGGACCTGAGCTGAAACCAAGAATTGGATTCTTAACCAACTGTGCCACCAAGGCGTGCCCCCGGAGCCTCATTTTAAAGGCTTGTTTGCATTTATTTGATTTCTTGAGGGATAATTGCACATACAGGGATGGGAATTATACAATTGGTACTTTGATCTCTCAGAGTAGCACCAAACTATTGACATTATCTCTTAAAATGTCTAATGCTGGTTCATTACCATGATTTCAGAAATATTCATCAATGTATTTCTGTACATTCTCCCCAGAGAAGGTAGCAAAATAAAATATTTTAATTATCTGGGAAGGTACTTATTAATTTTATAATCATAAAGTTGTTTTACACCTGGATGAACCAACTAAACATAAACGTACTGATCCAATTATGACAGTCACTGTTCTACTGCAATTTCTATCAGAACCACCTCAAGTCTAGTGGGAGAAACAGGAACATAAGGAGATAATTAAAAGATAATTTGGTAAGTTGGGACGAGCAGTCACAAGATGGTATGAGGCTATTGGAGAAACAGTCAAACCTAGCTTTGAGGAAAATAAGGAGGGTCTGGCTGAGTTAGCTCTGAAAGACAGCAAGAATTACCTCAGGAAAAAAGGGAGGATGGATGGTTCTTGCAAGAACTGTGGGTTCAAAGGCCTGGAAACAGGAGAAAGAGAAGGAATTCCAGAAACCAAAAGAAGTCTGTGAAAGAGCTGAGCCGAGAAAGGTGAAGTTTATGCCATGCTGCTAAAGTGCTTTACCACAATAATAACAGAGAGCCAAAGAAGGATTTTGAAGGGATTTGTGTTTTAGGAAAATCATTTCAGTAGCTGCTGTGAGTAGATGGGCATGGAGGCAGTGAAGAAGACAGACCAGCTGAGAGATGAAACAGGCAGATTCAAACTCAGTTAGCAGCCATGGGAACTGAGAGATGGGTGGGGCGGATTCTGGAGGTATTAAGGAAGTAGAATCAAAAGGAATTTATGACCGCTTTTAAATATCACAGGTGACTCAAAGTCTTCTCGCTTGGGCAACAGGGTGGTTATATTAAGTAAGATAGAGTAGAAAGGAGGAAGGTCAAGATGGAGGAGGAAAAACGGTAAAGTAACTTGGAAAATTTTTTACTTTGAAAGGAATGTGAGGCATAGAATGACATTTCCTACCTAAGATTAAAAATGTGTTGTATTTTGTTTCTGCTCTTTAATGGCCTGGGATAGAGAAATCCTGTGAGTAACTGGCTGGGGAGGAGAGGGGCATTAGCTTCACCCAGCACAGGAAAGCAATGTGGAGGGCCCTTAGAGACACACAAAGAGCAGCCTCTTGTTGGGAGGGTAGACTGGCAGTTTTATTGACCAGGAGAAAGGATATAAAGAGCCCCATTTATTGAAGAGACTGTGTTTTTTCCACTGCATATTTAGTCCTGCTTTGTCAAAGATTAGTTGACCATAGAGTTGAGGGTCCATATCTGGGCTCTCTACTCTGTTCCACTGGTCTGTGTCTGGTTTTGTGCCAGTACCATGCTGTCTTGGTGATCACAGCTTTGTAGTAAAGCTTGAAATCAGTCAACGTGATGCCCCCAGTTTTGTTTTTCTTTTTCAACATTTCCTTAGCAATTCAGGGTCTCTTCTATTTCCAAACAAATTTTAGGATTGTTTGCTCCAGCTCTTTGAAAAATGTCAGTGGAATTTTGATCAGAATGACATTGAAAGTATAGATTTCTCTAGGCAGTAAAGACATTTTAACAATGTTTATTCTTCCAATCCATGAGCATGGAATGGTCTTCCATCTTTTTGTGTCTTCTTCAATTTCTTTCATGAGTGTTCTGTAGTTCCTTGAATACAGATCCTTTACCTCTTTGCTTAGGTTTATTCCCAGGTATCGTAAGGTTCTTGGTGTTAAAGTAAATGGAATTGATTCTCTAATTTCCTTTTCTGTGTTTTCATTGTTAGTGTATAAGAAAGCAACTGATTTCTGTACATTGATTTTTTTATCCTGTCACATTACTGAATTGCTGTATGAGTTCTAGTAGTTTGGGGGTGGAGTCTCTTCAATAAATGGTGCTGGGAAAATTGGACAGCTATGTGTAGAAGAATGAAACTCAACCATTCTCTTCCACCATACACAAAGATAAACTCAAAATGGATAAAAGACCTCAACGTGAGGCAGGAATCCATCAGAATCCTAGAGGAGAACATAGGCAGTAACATCTTCAACATCAACCACAGCAACTTCTTTCAAGATATGTCTCCAAAGGCAAAGGAAACAAAAGTGAAAATGAACTTTTGGGACTTCAGCAAGATCAAAAGCTTCTGCACAGCAAAGGAAACAGTCAACAAAACAAGGAGGAAACCCACAGAATGGGAGAAGATATTCACAAATGACACTACAGACAAAAGGCTGGTATCCAAGATCTATACAGAACTCCTCAAACTCAACACACACAAAACAGATAATCATGTCAAAAATGGGCAGAAGACATGAACAGACACTTCTCCAATGAAGACATACAAGTGGCTATCAGACACATGAAAAAATGTTCATCATCACTAGCCATCAGGGAGATTCAAATCAAAACCACATTGAGATACCACCTTACACCAGTTAGAATGGTCAAAATTAACAAGACAATAAACAACATGTGTTGGAGAGGATGTGGAGAAAGGGGAGCCCTCTTACACTGTTGGTGAGAATGCAAGTTGGTGCAGCCACTTTGGAAAACAGTGTGGAGATTCCTTAAGAAATTAAAAATAGAGCTTGCCGGGCGCCTGGGTGGCTCAGTTGGTTAAGCGACTGCCTTCAGCTCAGGTCATGATCCTGGAGTCCCAGGATCGAGTCCTGCATCAGGCTCCCAGCTCCATGGGGAGTCTGCTTCTCCGTCTGACCTTCTCCTCGCTCATGCTCTCTCTCACTGTCTCTCTCTTCTCTCAAATAAATAAATAAAATGTTTAAAAAAAATAGAGCTTGCCTATAACCCTGCAATTGCACTACTGGGTATTTACCCCAAAGATACAGATGTAGTGAAAAGAAGGGCCATCTGTACCCCAATGTTCATAGCAGCAATGGCCACAGGTGCCAAACTGTGGAAAGAACCAAGATGCCCTTCAACAGACGAATGGATAAAGAAGATGTGGTCCATATATACTATGGAGTATTATGCCTCCATCAGAAAGGAGGAATACCCAACTTTTGTATCAACATGGATGGGACTGGAAGAGATTCTGCTGAGTGAAATAAGTTAAGCAGAAAGAGTCAATTATCATATGGTTTCACTTATTTGTGGAGCATAAGGAATAACATGGAGGACATGGGGAGATGGAGAGGAGAAGGGAGTTGGGGGAAACTGGAGAGGGAGATGAACCATGAGAGACTGTAGACTCTGAGGAACTAACTGAGGGTTTTGGAGGGGAGACGGGTGGGAGGTTGGGTGAGCCTCATGGTGGGTATTATGGAAGACATATATTGCATGGAGCACTGGGTGTGGTACATAAACAATGAACTCTGGAACACTGAAAAGAAATTTAAAAAATAAATAAAAATTAAAAAAAAAATAAAGAGCCCAATTGTATTTGTATGTCTAAACAAAACAGCCAAGGAAGGTGATTAGGAGTTGGGTTACCAAAAGTGACAGATGTCTCAGGCTACTAGACTTTATATTTTAGATGGTTCATGGTCTGAGAAGTAGCATGTGCATAAGGACAAGGCTGAGGGACGTCTATAAATAACCCTATCATAGCTACTCAAATGCCAGACTTGAAATTCAACATGTATCCTAGCATCTTGAAGAATATGCCCAGGCTACCCACCGCTAGCTGCCAGAGCTCTTCATCACAGTCACAGGTCAAAACGCCTAGTACTAAAAGCCACACACCCCACTTTTTATCTTTTCCCAAATACAAACAGGAAATAATCAAAACCATTTTTAGCTTACATGGAAGAATATCCCGATATCTGTTTTTTTCTCTGTTGCGTAGCTCATTCCCCGAGTTGAACGCATCAGGTAGGCTCTTACCACCTAAAGTCTTTAAAAGGTAAGAAATATAAATCATGCATTTACTATAACAAAATGAAAAAGAAAAAAATCTGCTCTTGCTCAGTGGTCATGATCCTTAAACCTCTATATGGCATGACCCGATGTTAAATGTGCTGTATGATAAGTGAAGTCAGAATCCCATTAAAAAATACTATTAAAATATCTCAAAATTGAGATATCAATCAACAAGCTGCTTGATAAGAAAATACTAATCTCCAACACCTGGGTGGCTCAGTCAGAAGCGTCTGCCTTTGGCTCAGATCATGATCCCAGAGTCCTGGGATCAGGTGCCACATCAGGCTCCTTGCTAAGCTTCTCCCTCTGCCTGCCACTCCCCCACCGCCTGTGCTCTTTCTCTCTATGTATCTCTCTCTCTCTCTGACAAATAAATAAGTAATATCCTTTAAAAAAAAAAAAAGAACAGACTAATCTCTCTGGACATACTCTTTCCCTTGAACTTCAATATTTTTCCTTTTCACACACACACACACACACACACAAAGAACATTCACTTCTTAGGACCTATTCATTAATCTATCATTTTATAAACAAAAATAATAAAATAACAGCAAGAAAAATATACAAATACATAAACAAAAAAAAAGTCTCACAATTTATTCCTTGCCCCATGAAGGAATTATAGCTAGGATACTAATTAAAGAATTCTTCCATCAGGGAAATTCAAATCTAAACCACAGTGAGATACCACCTTACACAAGTTAGAGTGGCAAAAATTGACAAGACAAGAAACAACAAATTTTGGAGAAGTTGTGGAGAAAGAGGAACCCTCCTACACTGTTGGTGGGAATGTAAGCTGGTACAGCCACTTCGGAAAACTGTGGAGGTTCCTCAGAAAGTTAAAAATAGAGCTACCCTATGACCCAGCAATTGCACTACTGGGTATTTACCCCAAAGATACAGACGTAGTGAAAGAAGGGGCACATGCACCCTAATGTTCATAGCATCAATGTCCACAATAGCCAAACTGTGGAAGGAGCCAAGATGCCCTTCAACAGACGAACAGATAAAGAAGATGTGGTCCATAAATACAATGGAATATTACTCAGCAGTCAGAAAGGATGAATGCCCACCATTTGCATCGGCATGGATGGAACTGGAGGGGAGTGAAGTAAGTCAAGCAGAGAAAGTCCATCATCATATGATTTCACTTATTTGTGGAACATAAGGAATAACATGGAGGACATTAGGAGAAGGAAGGGAAATTGAATGAGGGGAAATCAGAGGGGGAAATGAACCATGAGAGACTATGGACTCCAGGAAACAAACAGAAGGTTTTAGAGGGGAGAGGTGTGGGGGGATGGGTTAGCCTGGTGATGGGTATTAAGGAGGGCACAGATTTCATGGAGCACTGGGTGTTATATGCAAACAATGAATGATGGAACACTACATCAAAAACTAATGATGTACTGTATGGTGACTAACATAACATAATAAAAAATACATACATACATACATACATACATAAAAGAATTCTTCCTTTCAAAAATTTTAATTACCAAGTGTGAACTCAGTATACATTTACTGAACATTTAGTACATACTCAGCACTTCTCTAGATATTGGAATAAAAAGATGAGTCTGAAAATGGCCCCGTCTTTAAGGAGCTCTCAGAACAGTCAGAGGGGTGATCAATGCCACAAGATGCTGATGACTGCCATCAGAAGTTAGACATATGAAAGTCTGTGTGTGTGGAAGGAGAGGAGAGCAGAGGTGAGTAGGTTATCTCTCCAGGCAGAAAGGATAGGAATAAAGGCATGGGGCATACATCTCCTCTTGGGCAAATAAAGTAAATACATGGTAACAAGAGCAGAGAGAACATAATCTAGCCCAGAGGGAAACTAAAACTACCCAGGAAGGCCTTGTTTCAGATACAAAAGAAGTGGACATGTATCCAGTTCTACTCTATTAGAGTATTTGTGGATAAAGCCTGAGAATCTGTACTTTTCAAAAGCTCTTCAGTAACTCTTGGCACCACCAGTCTTTAAATAAGTGTTGGCAACTATTGGCATGGCAAATGAGAAGCTAGTGAAGGTTAAGCAGTAGGATAATAGATCAGATTTTTACCTTTCTTATCTTTATGCAAACCAATTATAAAATTAACTTGGAAAAATATCTATAGGAAAAGCAGAACAATTTTGTAGAAGAAGAGTATTAAGGGAAGACTAGTGTTAACAAATAATAAAAGATAACATAGCTACACTAATTAAAAGAGTTTGGTACTAGTACATGAATAAATCAATGGAAGAAATCCAAGAATAAATTAAAATTTACGGAGAACTTCAGTATATAATAAAAGTGGCCTTTTATATCACTGAGGCATAATTTCAAGAGGATCTGGGGACAACAGGATAGCTATCTAATACTGGAGTGCTACCAAATACCTTAAATTCTAGCTGGATCAAAGATTTACACATTTAAAAAATAAAAAAATATTAGAAAAAGACATGATGTAATTACTATGATCCTAGAGTGAAAAGGGCATCTAAAGGATATAGAAAACCCTGAAGTCCCAAAAGATTGTCATATCTGACCACTAAAAATTAGCTATTTCTTCTAACTAAATGTGTGTGTATGTACATGCACACTTCTGTGTAGCACAAACAAGGGGGAAAATTTACCACATATAGCACTACAAAAGAGACAATTTCTTCCTTATATAAAATTATTAATCAATACGAAAAAGAATAAACAGAAAATTGGGCAAAGAATCGGAACTAACATTTCACCGAAAATATATATAAAAGGCTTAAAAACATATGGAAAGCTATTCCCTTGTTCTCAAATAAGTGTCAGTATAAATATACACGGAGTCATTTGTCATATAAGAGATAAGCAAAAATCAAAAATTTGACAGCACAAAATACTGGTTGTGTTTCTAGTAACTTATTATAAGAATACTCACACATAAGCACAAGCATATAAAGAGGGGTAATTGCTGTTTATAAAGAACAAAGACAAGAACAATCTATGTTCATCACAGGGGACTACTTAAAGAAAAGAAGGTCTTTATCTATATAATTAACTACACTATGCAACACTTAAAAATAATGAGATAAAAAATAAGACAGATCTATATGTACCAATAATATATTTGGAAATTATTTCCTATGTGAGATATTTTCCTTAAAAAAAAAAAAAAGGAAAGAAAAGGTAGAATAGTTAGTAAAGTAAAGGCCAATAGTTTCCCAGACATTTATATGACAAACTTAATAGTGGAAAGGAGGCCTAGGAACTCAAGAGAGGAAAAACAAAGACTTTATCCATTTTATAACCTTTTATGCTATTTAACTTATTTTTTTTTTTGGCTATATAAACCTATTACTTTAAAAACAGACTTAATATTTGAAAACAAAAAGTACTCAATCTAAAAGAAAAGATAAAAAAGGAAAAGAAAAAACCCCTCTATTAGTAATATGGAAAATCACATTTAGACTTTTGTTAAGACCAAAATATTTACCATAAATTCCTGGAGGATTTCATATTCTGCTACTTTTTTCTCAAGCATTTTAAAACAATCCTTGATGATTGATTGCTCATGAAAATTGAATAGTAATGGTCGAACCTGAGCCAACTGAGCTAGCTCCCTTTCAGAAACAATTCGTATACCTAAGAAAAAGAAAAATTCACATTTTTAAGTTATTCATATGTATGTGAAGGGAGATTTTAGTTTGTTGCGTTTTCTCTCAAGTGAAGACACAGACACTTAAGGATTATTGGAAATTCATTTTTCCAGAAGTGAAGAGCCTATTACTTTGAAAGGAAGAACCCTTGTTTCAGAAAAATCATGATCATGTACCTTGAAATTACACAAAACCCACTATTTTTAGAAAAAAATGTTAAGTGCTATAAATATAAAAGATGCTATAGACTGAGAAGTGTTCTGCTTTATAGTGTGAATTAAGTATATGAACTGACAATTATGCCAAGGCAAGCATATACAAACAAGACTTGGATGGGGAAAAGTGAGAAATTTTGCCCTCCTTCAGACCAAGTATTTGAAAGTCCCTGCAGTCTGAAACGAGAAGATGTGGAGAGTCTAACACATGTCCTACTCTAAAACAGATCAAGTACAAGATGCACATACAGACACACACACACAACACAAACACACACATACCCGCCAAGGACAGAGAGGATCTATATAATTAATAAGACTAAAAATATATATATAACATGCAATGTAATTATAGATAATAAGTATTTTGATATACATTATATAGTTATACATGTATAACCAAAAATAACAGAAGCAAATACATACTATTTAATAGTACACATGGAGGTTTTTTATTTTAATGATGATTTTTTAGGCCATGTTGACAGTCTAGATTTCAAATATCTGAAATTTTACAGATCATGTTCACTGACCAAAATGCAATAAGTCTATGGGGCACCTGGGTGGCTCAGTGGGTTAAAGCCTCTGCCTTCAGCTCAGGTCATGATCCCAGGGTCCTGGAATCGAGCCCCGCATCAGGCTCTCTGCTCAGAGAGGAGCCTGCTTCCTCCTCTCTCTCTCTGCCTTCCTCTATGCCTACTTGTGATCTCTGTCTGTTAAACAAATAAATAAATAAACATCTTTTAAAATGCAATAAATCTAGAAGCCAGTACTAAAAGAATATCTTTTCAATTTCAGGATTTTGAGGTAATGTGCTCAAGTGAAGCCAGTTCTCCAAATCTCTTTCCAAAGTCAACTAATATGAACAAAAATCAAGTTAATATTAGCAAAAAATATACAAGAAGCAATGCCACGAAAGAGTGGGCATAAAAAAGAAGTTTCTAAAAATATGCATAGCCTTATAAAACCCTCCTTGTCTTGGAAACTTATTCAACCAAAAGCTCTCTATAGGGGTGGGAGTAAGGGACTGTTGGTTGGGAAAGACAGTCACAGAAATCCTAAAATTTCTCACAAATATCTCTAACCTTAGTATGAGAGGAGGCCTAGGAAACCCAGAGGGGGAAATAAAATTCCATGAGAGTACAAGCCATTTTGATCATCGTTGATCCCCAAAAGAAAAATCCTTAGAACTTCCCACGTATTCCAGACGTGCTGGAACAGAAGCTGAGAGCAGGGAAGGAGGAGAGGAATGAAAAGGTAGAATGACAGCAGTAGACACTGTTGTTGCCCACCCCCCACATTGATTCTACCCTGATGGTTAGTAGAGCCACGTGTGATCATTCCACAATAATTCCCTTGCCAGTAAATAATTCAGCAACATGTAGGTGATTCGAGCCAATGGGAAGTAAGGATAAGTTTATTCAAGGCTTATGGGCAAAAGAAGCAAGCTTCTCTCTCATCTGTATCTACTGTCCAGACATAAGTCCGGAAGTATAAGTATGGCCCTGATTATTACTATAAGCCCCACTGTGACATAAAAGGAATGAACTGAATACAGCAAATACAAAAAAAAAAAAAAAAAAAAGAAAAGAAAACCAAAAAACCTATGTTGTAAATGTAAATGTAAGCATCACTGAACAATTAGATCATATTGAATGTGGAATACTGCCTACCTCTGTACTTCCATTATGGGAGAAAGTATATTTCTTTATCATTAACATCATTTTCAATTTGGTTTCTTTTTATTGCAGCCTGGTCCAAGAATTCCAATGAAGGTGAATAGGTCAGGCTTCACCTGAAGATCATGGCAATCATTACAGGAAGGAATTTTCGCAGAAAGGCAGTTTACAGAAAGGGATTTTATCTAGCTATCTAGTGCTGACATCATTGGACAGGTCAGAAGAACAGGAGCTTCCCCTCATCATGGTCCAAAAATAACACCACAAAATGGTCTGCCACAAGAAGAGCTAGCTTTGCTGTAATGAGGAATCTGAGGAAGTTGGACACCACTGCTGTCATCACTAGCTCCTGGATGACACTACAACCACAGAGGAATCAGAAAGCCGTCACTATGAGTGCTAGCTCGTCATTGACCACCTTAGTTAGAATGAGATGCTAAGAATGCCATGCCTGTTGTGGTTTGGACCAGCAGCCTGGATGCTTCTCTTCATGTCTCAGTCTTGGCTAAGTGCATACAATTGGCCAAACCCATACTAACGACCAGGATTTCTGGGAAATGTAATTTTTAGTATTCTTGCCTGGACCATAAAGAAAGATACACTAGGAGGAGAATGTGATCAATGTTGAGTAAACTAGTCTATAACACCTGCAACACAACTCATCCATACCCATTCAGTTTTCTTCTCTGTTCCCCAAACCCTTCTGCACACTTGTCATTATCCTCTCAGGCAAAATCTAGCCCTCAGAGTGTAGTTTATAATGGAAGATAACTAATCAAACCAAATCAAATAGAATGGGAATCAACAAGAATTCATCCATGACAGGGCACCTGGGTGGTTCAGTCAGTTAAGCATCTGCCTTTGGCTCAGGTCACAATCCCAGGGTTTTGGGATCAAGTCCCACATTGGGCTCCTAGCTTAGCCAGGAGCCTGCTTCTCCCTCTGTCTGCCACTCCCCTTGCTTGTGCACTCGCGTGCTCTCTCTCTCTCAGTAAAATAAATAAATAAAATCTTTAAAAAGAAAAGAATTCATGCTCAAAAAGCAAAATCAAAGAGATGAAGAACTATACATGTTAGTGAACAAGATGGAAATAAAACACAAGATGAAGAAAAAAATGAGTAATGCAATATGGTATGCAAAAACATTTCAATCCATTCTGAATGGAACATAACCTACATTGTAGATCTATTGTGTGTAGAAGGAAGTAATAAGAATATAAATTATTTTATTATTTTTTATAGGCTCCATACCCAGGCTGGAGCCCAATGTGGGGCTTGAACTCAGGACCCTGAGATCAAGACCTGAGCTGAGATCAAGAGTCAGATGTTTAACCAATGAGCTACCCAGGTACCCCTTAAACAAACTTTTTTTTTTTTTTTTAAAGAAGTTTCCATATCCATGGAGCCCAACACAGGGCTTGAACTCAGGACCCTGAGGTCAATACCTGAGTTGAGATCAAGAGTCAGATGCAGGGCACCTGGGTGGCTCAGTGGGTTAAAGCCTCTGCTTTCAGCTCAGGTCATGATCCTAGGGACCTGGGATCAAGGCCCGCATCAGGCTCTCTGCTCAGTGGGGAGCCTGCTTCCCCCTCTCTCTCTCTGCCTGCCTCTCTGCCTACTTGGGAACTCTGTCTGTCAAATAAGTAAAATCTTAAAAAAAAAAAAAAAAAAGAGTCAGATGCATTACTGACTGAGCCACCCAGGCACCCTCAGAATATAAATTATTTTAAATGAGATTAAAAGTAAAAAAAACAGAATGACCTCTTACATGAGGTTTTTGGAGTAGTCAAATCCATAGATACAGAAAGTATAATGCGCTTGTCAGGGGCTGGGGAGAGGGAGAATGGGGAGTTAGTATTTAATGGGTAAGAGTTTAGTCGAGGAAGAGGAAAAAGTTCTGGGGATGGATGGTGGTGTTGATTGCACAACAATAAAAATGTACTTAATACCACTGAACTGTACACTGAAAAATGGTGAAGATGGTAAATGTTATGTTCTGTATATTTTACCACAATTTTTATTTAATTTTATTTTTTATAAACATATAATATATTTTTATCCCCAGGGGTACAGGTCTGTGAATCGCCAGGTTTACACACTTCACAGCACGCACCATAGCACATACCCTCCCCAATGTCCATAATCCCACCCCCCAACCCCCCTCCCCCCAATAACCCTCAGTTTGTTTTGTGAGATTAAGAGTCACTTATGGTTTGTCTCCCTCCCAATCCCATCTTGTTTCATTTACTCTTCTCCTACCCCCTTAACCCCCCATGTTGCATCTCCTCTCCCTCATATCAGGGAGATCATATGATAGTTGTCTTTCTCCGATTGACTTATTTCGCTAAGCATGATACCCTCTAGTTCCATCCACGTCGTCGCAAATGGCAAGATTTCATTTCTTTTGATGGCTGCATAGTATTCCATTGTGTATATATACCACATCTTCTTTATCCATTCGTCTGTTGATGGACATCTAGGTTCTTTCCATAGTTTGGCTATTGTAGACATTGTTGCTATAAACATTCGGGTGCACGTGCCCCTTCGGATCACTACGTTTGTATCTTTAGGGTAAATACCCAGCAGTGCAATTGCTGGGTCATAGGGTAGTTCTATTTTCAACATTTTGAGGAACCTCCATGCTGTCTTCCAGAGTGGTTGCACCAGCTTGCTTTCCCACCAACAGTGTAGGAGGGTTCCCCTTTCTCCGCATCCTCGCCAGCATCTGTCATTTCCTGACTTGTTAATTTTAGCCATTCTGACTGGTGTGAGGTGATACCTCATTGTGGTTTTGATTTGTATTTCCCTGATGCCGAGTGATGTGGAGCACTTTTTCATGTGTCTGTTGGCCATCTGGATGTCTTCTTTGCAGAAATGTCTGTTCATGTCCTCTGCCCATTTCTTGATTGCATTATTTGTTCTTTGGGTGTTGAGTTTGCTAAGTTCTTTCTAGATTTTGGACACTAGCCCTTTATCTGATATGTCGTTTGCAAATATCTTCTCCCATTCTGTCAGTTGTCATTTGGTTTTGTTGACTGTTTCCTTTGCTGTGCAAAAGCTTTTGATCTTGATAAAATCCCAATAGTTCATTT